AAGTCCCTTAAAACTGAAAACAATATATCCATGTTGCAATTAAATATGGGGCCATGGCAAGATAGGAGTTGGGGTTAGAGATACAGAAATAGAAACAGCACCATATTAGGTAGAAGTAATATTGAAAGGCTTTGGTATATTCAAGGAGAGGAAAAAAATAAAGTGTGTATATATATAGTCCCATGAGAGGGATTGAGTCATCTACTTTGCAAATGGCAACTCCTACGGTCACAGATCTTGTTATCAAGTCACAGCTGAGGCATTTATGATGATAGTAGCAATTGTAGAGTGTGTGTGTGTGTATGGAAAGGGGAGAGGAGCAGTTGGCTGCAGACCTTTAACTGTGACTAGTGATGCAGTTAAAGGCAAATGCAGTTAGATGCAACCCCCCCTTCTCCTGATTTGAAGGAATAGATACAGAATGTACCCATTTCTCACAGAAACTCGCTGGGCCAGTTGCCCCTCCAGTCTGACCCCAAGGGCTTTTCAAACTGCCATTTCAAGCACAGCACGAGCTGTCCCAGGGCTTGCTTTGGAGAGCACCTAGTCCCATGGTGTCCCCACAGAAGACCACAGAGCATGCCAACTTGGTCTTTGCCTGTAGAATTGTCGTCTTGCAGCCTCCCAGCATCCACAGCCATTACACTGGGGATGCTAAAGGGTATAGCCATATTTATTTCTGTTAATATCTGGTACGGACCAGTTGTTCATGGATTACTGTTGTCAGGTTCACTCTGCCACCATCATGCCTTGCAGGAGTAAGTACCTGGAATGGGTGTGTGTGGTTTTTAAAGTGTGACTGGGAGGGGGGGAAACCCTCATCTGTCCCAAACCAGTCTTCTGGTGAGTGCCTCCTACTTCCAGTGTGGAGTGACTTACTGAACACCAGTCTTGCTGTTGCCTTGTTCCTAACTCTTATGGTAAGACAGCTGCTCCATTCCTTTAATCAATTTAGTTGCCTATCTGTATGTGTTCTCTAACTCCAGTGTGTCTTCCTGGGATGTGGAGAACAACTGCACACACAGTCAGGATGTGAATGTAGCAGGGCTTTATACAATGGCAGAACTGGTAAATACTTATGCTTTGCTGTTTCCCCACTGGTCTACCCTCAACACCAGGCCAAGCTTCCAGAAATGTGTCAGAAGTGATCTATTTCATAATTCCATTTGTTAGCTACAAGTGCTCTCCAAGGTTTTAGGTTTTAGCATTAAAGCAGTTGATTTATAATCTCACAGATTGAGAATAAAGATAAGCAGCAGAGCAACCAGAACCCTTGAGAATGTGTTTACTTTCTAGCAGCTCTTAGTGGTATTTCCATAGGATACTGGTCAGTAACTTCTTAAGAAAAAGGAAACAGTGACTTGGGAACTGGAGATGTCTTTTTCTTTCTATTTTCCCTAGAACAAAACAATCAGTTGACATTTATAAATATTTTTTAAATATCCAGGATTTGTTGCGTCCCCAAAAGATTTCTTATAAAAATTCAGCTAGTCTTTGTTGGTCAGAAATGTGGAGCTTAAAAGTAGGTTTAAAAAAAAAAAAGCAATTGCTAATTGTTTCTAAGGTGCACATCTTTGAGGGGCAAGGACCACTGCTAGTTCAAAAGGGAATTTCACTGGATATTCAAATGATCTAAAATATAGCTTACCTCCAGTGCTTCCTTTAAAAAAAGGAAAACAATGTCTGAACTGGTCTCCCATCTCTAGAGGGGAGGTTGCTTCATGCTAGGACTGAGGTAGGTTTGTAGCACACAGAGATGGTGCTCCATCTGCCCTCTGAGATGGTGAAAATGTGCCTTGTCAGTCCCAGGTTAAGTCTACTTAAAACAGGGCTACCAAAACACATGGCTCTCATTTTAGCAGGACATGAATAGCCATTGCATGCATGTTTTATGTGTTGCTTTGGCTCACTGGTGGCTCTGTGCCTCCCCCCACATGTGAAGTGGTTGCTGTTGTCTGGCTGGTTTCTCTCTTGACTTAATGGCCTTTTGGATAAAAAGGAAAAAGTATTTTTTCCTATTATTCTTATTGCTTGTTATCATTGTGCTAATGACTTTGACTTTGACTGTAGAAATGTACCACCTGCAAACCAGAATGATGTTGTTCTTCAGAGCTGGCCCTGTTGTGTCTTTTGACAAAATAAAACTAAGTCCTGTTATGAATTTTCATACAGATAAGCTTGTGCATAAGCAAGCGCTTCTATAGAAACAAGGACTTCAAGCAGTAAGTGACAGGAATACCATTGAGCTAGTTAAATGCAAATAAGCCTTGCTTTAATACTAAATGTATTTAGAAGACTTGTAGGAAAAAGCATGAAAATAACTGTTGCTATGCAAGTGAGCTGTTTGTCCTAATCCTGATTAGTCTAGGGGGAAGCTTTGCAAATATTAGGAATAGTTTTATATGATAAATAATCCACTTGATTAACTACTTAGATTTCATATTTTTCTTTGTAAACTGCTCACTAAAAGCCAACTGTCAGAAAACGAGAATACTTGTTTTACCAGGACTGTGCATAGATGAGGGAGGCCAAGGTGCAAGTTTGCGTTAGGCTTGCTGTGTTGGGTTTGCCTGTTTCTCACAGCCAGTGAACATCTGTAGAGGTGATGCTTTATTTCTGCATCTGTTTTCTCCCTGCAGTGTCTTTGCTGTCTGAAGGTCACAGGTCTGACAATCAATTTCATTGGTTGATGCTTTTTATTATTTTTTTAATGGTGTGTTAACTTTTACAGACATATTGAAATACTCATTTGTTATGTCTACAGCATGTCTCTATTTAAAAAAAAAAAAGTGAATTAATGCTAGAGAAGCAAACCCACCCCAGGTGAGAGAGGTTCTATTCTGTTCTAATAACTTGGCTTTTTACCAGACATTGTAATACATTTTTTTTTTCTTCAGCAGCAGAAGGCTAAGGGTATAAATTGAATCCAAGTAGATGAATCGCTGCCATCAGTTTAGTTGCGCTTTACCTGAATCCACAGGGCAGTGAGCAGGAGCTGAGACAGCGCTTCAATTAAGATTGTGGTACAAGTAAATCCATTCTATTGTTATAGAGGCTTTCGATTATAAAATTCTTCCATAGAATAGAGTGAGCTGACAAGACAGGCCTGAATGGTGCTTTCATCGTGTTTGTATAAAAAAGTGATTAGGCTAGGGTATATCTGGGGCTGGGGGAGAGCAGTCTGGCTGCTTAGATGATGTCTTTCCCTGTCACGTTTTATTTAAATAGATGCATGCTTGCTTGCTTTATTCCCTAGCTGTAAGCATGTTCATTTTCTTCGCCTTTTGGAGGCTTGCGATTTTGCAGGCTTGATCCAGCTAGCTCATTTCTCCTCAAGCAAGCATGCAGTCACAAGAGGGTCCTTCTCCTGCCACTGCTTTGGAGAAGTTTAGGTGCCCGAGCTAAAAGGCCAAGTTGCAAGCTGTTTCATTGAACTATTTTATACTGTCAGACTGCATATCAACAATCCTTTCTCTCCATAGTTTAAAAATAACTTGATATCTCCTTTACAAGGACTTGAAAACTGGCATTTAAATTTATCTTCCCTTGAAACCATTGCGGTGCCTTCACTTCTCAGCTATGTTGAGGGCTAGAAAACTCTAGCTGTTACAGAGCTATGGGGGAAGCCTAAAGAGCCCTCTCTTCTTGTAATTGGTTTAATGCTTTTTCTAATTGTAGAAAGGTACCTTAAATACCCCTGCCCTCAGGATTTTTCAAGCTATAGGAGTATGAAACCTCATCAGTGTAAACTCAGTTTTGTCCGCTGCCATTTAGAACTTGCTGCCTGGTTCACAAGTGCTGTGGCTATTGAAAAAAAATCATGATAGGGACAGCAGAGATTGAAGTGAATTTCTGAGTGGGAGAACCCTGGTAGAGACCTCTTAAAGTGGTAGATTGCTTACTTAGTTAACATGTTTGAGGAGAGCTGGTTACTGAGCACGCCAACCTGGAGACTCGGGGCAAATGCTACCCCCAAGCCCTTCCTGGGAGGAGTAGGAAACTTTTTGTCCTGCTGAGGCTGATGCTCCTTAAAGAAGGTTGGTGTATGCACACATCCACCCTGCCCTGCCTGCAGTGACATGGGCTGCAGGCAGGCAGGAGCTCTTTCTAGGAAGCAGGTTTATTTCCCTGGCTATTAGGCGTCTAATGGATTTCTCTTGAGCCTTTCCAAGCTGTGAAGGTAGCAATGACATTAGCTGTTTATAACCTGCTGCCTGCCTTTCTCTCAGATGTATTTCATGTACAACCTCAGGCTTTTCTCATTTGCAGCTTAACTTTGTTATAAGGTGACTGCTTTTGTTTCTAACTTCATTGATATCCATCACAAACTTGCCCTGCAGTTCAAAAAGAAGGTGCCTTCATTTCCACAAAAAACCCTAAGTGGAAGTCATAGCGTGCATGGTTTTCACAGTACTGATGATATGTTTTTTGACCCTCTGTTGTTACTCAGGGAATTTAGAAGGGTTTTCTCCACAAATACTGTTTTGCTCTGCATTAACACTTCAAGTTCACCAAGCTGCTGTATATAGGAGCTAAGGGATGTAGCAATGCAACCGAGAGAAGTCACTGGGCAATCATCCAGTAGCACTTTGATCATAGAGCATATAGCTGAATGTTAAGCACATTTCCAGGGCGAGCTGTCAGCTTTGACGTTGGGTACTGTGTGATGTAGATGGGGTAGCTGAACTGGAAAACCTCTAGAGCATCTGAACAAAGATCCTGGCTGCAGGAGGGAGATTGTGCTTCCACAAAAAAGTCCATTCAGTAAATGGAGATGTGGTGGTGTTTGGAGGGGATTAGAAAATGGTGCCTGAAAGCAAGAACTCCACACTGTGGGGGTGTGTGCCAGACCTGACCAAGGTGTTCTGAACAGGGTATTTGCTAACTGCAGATTGTTATTCTCAGCTCTGCCGTAGAGAGGCATTTAGGTGGTAAAGTACCCTGCTGCTAAGTACATGTGTTGTGTTACACAGTTCTCAACCTATGCTTTTGTTCCTTAGTATTGAGTTCGACCGAGACTGTGACTACTTTGCCATCGCTGGAGTGACAAAGAAGATTAAAGTCTATGAGTATGGTACAGTCATTCAGGATGCAGTGGATATTCACTACCCTGAGAATGAAATGACCTGTAATTCCAAAATCAGGTAGGTGTTGACTTTGTATTTGAACTCAGAGGGTCTTTCTTTTCCATTTGCTTGTTTATATGAAGTAACTGTTTTGCTTGCTTTATCCATTGTGGGAATGGGAAGGGAAAGGAGGGGAAAGCAAGAGCTGATGGAGAGCTTGCTTTGAACTCTTCGTGGGATCAGGTGGCACAACCACTGTTACCTGTGTGTGCCAGGGTCATCCAAGGTAATAGCAGGCCCACATGTCTGAAGGAGAAAGGGCACAGGGTAGCGAATTGCTTTTGTGTTCCTTGCATATGCGGTTGGATACCTACTCAATTAAAAGGAGAGTAAAAGCAGAGTAGTGGATATGGTCCAGGTAAAGTCTTAACTTGTCTCAAAGTAACTTCTGTGCCCGGTTCTTCATAATAGCCGCAGATTCCTTTGTGCTCTCTTCTCATCACCCGCCAGAGCCTTACCATTCTGAGAAGCTGCTAGTCCTCAGGAAAAGTGCCTCATCTGCACTGTCTGCCTATGAATTTATGTCTGCCTGAAGTACTATTCTGCTGAGCCTCATAATATCAAGCTCTTAGGAAGAGACCTTGCTTGATTTTTTTGCTTCTGTGCTGCTATTGTTACTGTCAACCTATTTTTTATCTTTTTAGATGACTTAAACCAAAGAAATAGACCACCATGTCAGAACTTCAGCTGAAAGACTCTAGTTAACATAACTTCAAAATCCTAATTCAAAAATTCTGTTAAAGCTCAAAAGTAAATAATACAGGCAATCAAACCAATTCAGTATTACAATACGAGTCTCCAGCATCTCTGGTGAACTAATTTGTTTTTATTTGGTACTCCGTTTTAAAAGCAGTAAAGCACCTACAAAAGTGTAAGTAATAAATTTATATAACAGTCTGCCTTCCACGAAAACAAAATGTGCAACAAGCTTAATGTTTGCAAACCTACTTTATAGTGTAAAAGTCATGCTTAGTTTTGTAGTTGACAGATTTCTTAAGGTAGATCAGTCACTCCTGTATTGCTTGTGCTGATAATTCTTGGGAATTGTGTAATGCTATTTTATGAAGGAAAAGATGTAAATGCAGCCGACCCTGGGTCTGGCTTTCAAGATGTGTGTAAATAGTCTGAGGGATTTGTGTTGATAAGACATTGATTATGGAGCTTGTGTTTTGCTGGACTTGTGAAATGTTCAGCATTTTTGCCTGAGTCATAGCAGAGTTCACTTGGCTTCATTATTCTGGAGAGAAGAGCAGAATAATAGGAGAACCATCTAGCAGTTGATTAATACCTTTTGCCTTAATTAGAAGGGGAAAAGCAATGTGTGTTTGGTATTTCTCAGTCTGTCTGAGACAACTTCCAAACTTGCTACTTCAAATCTGACAGGGATCTACCCTGATGATCCTGCCAGGCATTAGGAAGTTGTTTGTTCTCTCTTCTCTGGCAGCCGCTGGTGAGGAGAGCCACGTTAGCGCCTTCAGTGATGTTACTCTTGTCAGCTTTGTGCTCCAGACAAGACACCACCTGCATTCAAGATTTCTTCTCTTTCTCAAATTTTGTGCATATATACATTATATACATGACTATGCTAAATGCATTGTCCTCTAACACTCTGCCTCAGCGGAGGTGGACAGGGTCCTCTTCTTTCATTTCCTTGCCCTAGTTTCTCTTATTCCTCCAAAGAAATGCATTTTTTTTTTCCCCACTGGCACTTCCACATTATATCAGCGTGGCGGGTGCTTTTGGTTTTGACAAATAAAGTTAGGCTGTCAGTCAAATGCATCCTTGCTATATCCATTAGCTGTGCTGCCAGTCACTGGTGCCGGGCCTCGCTGGCGCAGTGTTGAGCAGCATAATAACTTGCTATTCTGAAGTGGCGTAGCTTGAGGGAGAAGTTACATATGAAGGCTGTAATTTCATTACAGAATATTGCAGTACGCTGAAAATGTGCCTGTATTATAATAAAAAAAATCTAAACAAGTAGAGCCTGCTTTTTGTAAAAAAGCCTTGGCTCAAAGCTGTTGATCTTAATTTGGGTGGAGGTGGAGCTTCTTTCAGAGGCATACTCTACCTTCTAGTGCTCTTTCTGATATTGAAGACTGTATTTCTGCTGCGGCACATGAGTGCTACCTCTCTTCCCAGCACAGATGTGGGGGTCTGTGTGCAGATGGGAATTGGTGACATGTCTCCTCCACTGAAGCTGGCGTGTGACACTGGCACAGCTCGTAATGTCCCTTCCATCCTCACGTGGCACCAGAGCTGTCTGTCCGCAGGCGCTTTGGCTTTCCAAAGACACGTCATGGGAAGCTCACCCTAAATTGATCCTGGTTAACCTTGTTCAGAGTGATGATGCCGGAACATAAATCGTTAGCGGTTATGTTGGTGACTCAGCTTTCGGAGGAGCGAGCAGCAGCCCTGACGGGCTTTTATAAAAGCAGACAGGTGACAGCATTTGCGAGGACTCGTGTCTGGCCAAGAGCAAGTCTGCTGGCCTGGAGCAGCTGCGGGAGGGGAAGCCCTTGCTGGGGACAGGGCTGGCGCTGGCCCAGCCCTGCTCTGCCGTGTGCCAGCTGGGCGCCTGCTGAAAGGTTGAGCTTCATGCCAGCAGTAATTGATTGTAGGCTTTTCTGGAGCAGAGCCCTGGTACCAGCTGTAGCTGAGTCTTTCTTCCTCTTTTCCAACCCCCTTTTTTACACCCACCTGCTTCTTAAATACATTCTTTTTTCATCATCTGCTGAGCTTTCTCATCCCTATTTTTAAGAACGGAGAGGAAGTCAGTGTGTTGGGTTTCTGGTAAATGTGCATCCCGTCCCCCGGGAACGACAGTGGCATAAGCTTCCAGGAAAAACACAAGATGACACATAAATCCTCATAAAAATCCCATTTACAGATTCATAGCTTCAGTACAAGAAACAAATCCTGGCATTGTGTAGTAGCTATAAACAGCACCCTGTGAGCTAATTATGACTTGCTGTGTCCCTAGCTATGGCAGACAATCTGCAGCTCCCCCTGCACAGGAGGAGATGGGAGAGGACGAGAAGAGGATGAATGGCTAGCAGTGAGCCATAGCTCTCCTCTGATTTAGTCAAGAGGCAGATTTGTTGTTTTACCATAGGTTGCAGGGGGAGAAAAATAAGGAGATCTAGCATTCAGGTAAAAGAAATTGGCTTTAGGCCTTGTTAATCTACAATAGGTGATGTGCAAGTGTGGTTAGGTAAACATGCTTTTGAAATCTATGTTTAGTATTCTGCATGCTCACTGCTGTGTGTTTGCAGCATCTGTACTTCAGTGATAGATGTTACCACAAACCTCCAAAATCAGCTGCATCTGTTTAGTCAACTGCAGTAAAAGCAAAGCATCAGTAGGCTTTTTTTTTAGGAGGCTGCTAGTATTTTATTGTTTTCATTTTTTGGTGTCAATAAATCAAATGCATGATTGCTCTGTCCTAATAGCAGTTCATGGGCATATTGCTGTCAGTTTTAAAAATGGCAGTCAGTTCTCACTATTAAGTTCAAATTAAGCAAAAACTTGCTGTATGGAGTTTTTCATCAGTCTTTGCTGTTTGGGGAGGTACAAGCTCTCTTTATGCTGCAAAAACTCACAAGTGGTTGTGTTAGATGCCCATATTTCCAATGCAGAAAATATTCGACACTAAACAGGGTATAAGGAAACACACCTTGAACTTCCATTAATTCTAGTTTTCAGATTAACTGCTTCACTTTGCAATAAGATGAAGTTTTTCTTTAGAAGTATTTGTCTCTTAACCCTACCAGAGATTTTCTTTGGATTGGTTAGAAAAAAGGCTTTTTTAAAACACTCATAATGATAATGTAATTTTCGATGTCTCTGAAGTATTTGGTTAGCATTGCTATTCCTGTGGATGTTCCTTGCAGTAATAGATCACTCCCTTAAAAACATTTCAGTCCTAAAACTAGTAGGCATCGTTTGACTCATGGAAATAGACTGGATCTGAAGTACTTGGCACTTGGAAGCAGGTCAGACCACAGCAGTTTGTGCCTTATTAAAAGCTTTAACTCTGTTTAACTCTCACTGCCAGAGGGGCAGTGGTTGACACTGGGTAACCTGATCCTGGATTTGAGACATTTCAGCCATAAAAATACTGGCTCATGAAAGAAACATCAGCGTGACTGACCATGCTAACTGAGCTGGCCCACTTTTGTCTCTGAATAAAATGAAGGATGCACATAAATCTTTACAGAGTCAGGATTTCTGTGTGTCCGGATCGGATGCTGAGGTTAGAGTGTTTCAGAGGTCAGTGATTAGCTTTCAACTGGAGTTTCTCCAGGCTAATCTCCTAGGAAGGAAAGCTGTCACAATCTATGGCAAGATAAACCTCTGGGGTGTAACTATCGCCCTGTTTCTGGATTAAAGAACAAAGCAAAAACTAAAAAAAATACAGCTGCTAGTATTTAAAATAAAAAATGGCCCCACACAATTCCTTTTAATCCAGTGCTGAACTATGCATTATCTCAGCCTCAGGTAGCTATTTTTTGTATCATCTCTCACAGCCTCCGCATTTCATTTTTTCCCTGGATGTGACTGCAGGCCATCTAAAGGTTGTCTACAAAAGGTTATTTTTATGTACTTGTGGGGTTTCGATGCTTAACCTGGTGAGGACTGTGTAACCTGCATTTTTGGTCCATCTTACCTTTGCCCTTTCTTTGCCTCTTCTCCAACTTGTTCCCCCATGCATTTTTGAGTCTCAAGGGAATCCAAAAAAGTAGATGTCTCTGAAGTTTCAACAAAAATGCCTGTTTGGCATGGAAGAAAGGTCAGTGCTTCCCTTGAGGGGAGCATGGCAGTAGCTTCTCAGCCCCTTGTAGGTCCCGGGGAAGCCACATGGAAGAGAAACATCATAATGTCCCAGCTCCAGAACAGCCTTCTTTCAGGCCTGTGTCATGGCAGATGCCAGAGAATACAACCAAAGGGCAGTCAGCCCTTGGTAAAAAGCATAATTTACCTGGAGAGGGAGCTCCCCTCCACCCGATCCAACCCTGAATTGTGCTCTACAAAGGTTACTTTTGAGGATTTAAGTTATCAAGAAGCTCAGGTACTGCAATGTTAAGGAGAAAACTAGTTTCAGACTTTGTAAAGAGAGTTGGATGGTGCTGAGGGGAGAATTAAGGCAGAGAGCTGGAACAGGATTGTTGTTGTCTTACTATGATCCTTTAATCATATTCCTTAAAAAGGGAAGATTTATGGTGTGTGTGACTTAAAAGGTGTTAATTGAACTGCTTAGTGGCTGTAAATCCCTAAACATTTTTCACCTGTCAGTTCCTGTTTTCCCCTTTCAGTCCATCTACAAATGCTTTCCAAGTGAGTGTTAACCCCTTGTTAACACCATCAGACTTCAGTGGGACAGAATGCTTAGCTTGATCTTTGCTGTGCCAGACCTAATGGATGTGCTTTTGGGCACAGAAGTCCTTCATTTTTCTCCATCTATATTGATTGATCCAATAAAATATTATCTCTGCCTGCAAACCTGATACTTATATCCTTAGATTTATCACATCTCAAGCAGCACTGTTAAACTCTCTCCTTCATATTTTTCTGCCTACTCCGTAATTCCTAATTTTCGTTGTCTGGGGTGATTTCTTTCTTGACAAGATACAGTTATGTGATTATTCTCTTCATAGTTCAGCTTGCAGTGCCCAGCTCTCTTCTGCTGGTCAGATGTGGATTTCGTGTCCCCCTAGCATAGAGCATCCATCCTCTAACCAGCCAGGGTGGCACCAGCAAGTCTAACTTTCTCTGGGACTCTCTCCACCTACTGGTGCTGCCCAATGCAATCTCAAAGCCATCCAGATAGAAGGCTGTCTTCTCTGGGCCCCTGACTTGAGTGGAGATAAGGTGGTACGGGGAACAGGTTTGAATGTCTAGTGCAGTGTCTACCCCCCTGCCATTAGTTAGAGACTGCTCCCATCCCAGAGCCTCGCTGTGTTGTACCTCTAGGGCACTGAATCGCTTTGGCTTCCATCAGTGACTTCTTTGCCTGGAAACAGGACTCCAGACATCAGATGTGGTTATCTTTAGACTGCTGCAACCTTCACTTCAGTCCTGGTGGGTAGTGCCTGCCAGCTTCATTTGGTCCTCAGGGAGCCACTTAAGCCTCTCTGAGGCTTCTAGTAAATCATAGACTGTCAAGACCTGCTTTTCTGTGGGTACATAAAGGTAGTAGAGCTGGTGTAATGATAGCTCCTTGATGATACATTTGTGGACAGTCCTTGTACCCGTGAGGGTTGAGGACACTGACATTTTCGAATTAATGACATGTTGTGGAAGGGGTGAAATCAGGGAAAGCATTGCCTGAGCTGTATCACCTCAAACATCCTCTTAGCAGCTGCTGGTTAAAGATGATAACTTATGGGTAAATAAAACTTCCTAAGTTTCTGAATGCAAAGTTTTAAAACCAAGGGATGCTGTTATATGAAGGAAGTATGCAAGTGTGTGAACAGACTATAGGTAGAGGTGCGCACAGAGAGTGATGTTTGACAGGTTGAAAACAGTGTCATCGATGTTGTTATTCTGTACTGGCCATTCTAAAGAAAGCTCCCAGTGATCCACTGCAGAAGGTGTGTCCTGAAGGTTTTCTCCCAAGCCTCATGCAGTGGCATGAGAGGCTTGCAGAAAGCTGCAGCTGTTGGATGACTTTGTCTCGTTTCTGTAAGTTACAGATTAACTTGTGCAGACAGAGGAAGTCTTTTGGATCACTTGATTAAGTTTCCTGC